TATTTATTCTTTCAAAGAACCAACTCTTTGATTCATTAATTCTTTGTATTGTTTTCTTGGTCTCCATTGCATTAATTTCTGCTCTGATCTTTGTAATTTCCTGCCTTCTTTGGGCTCTGGGTTTGACTTGCTCTTCTTTTTCTAGAAGCTTGAGGTGCAGCATAAGATTGTTTATTTGTGCTTGTTCTGTTTTCCTGATGTGGGAATTCACTCATAGAAATCTCCCTCTTAGGAGTGCTTTCAGTGCACCCCAGAGGCTCCAGTAAGTTATATCTTCATTTTTGTTTGATTGTAGATATTGTTCTTGCTTCTTTAATTTCATCTGTGACCCATTGGTTGTTCAGGAGGGTGTTATTTAATTTCCAAGTTTTTATGAAGTTTTTTCAATTTCTTTTGTCAATAATTTTCAGTTTCATTGCACTGTGGTCTGATACTATGCATGGGATAATTTCAATTCCTTTGCCTTTACTTAAGCATGTTCTATGGGCTAGTATACGGTCTATTTTAGAAAACATGCCACGTGTACCTGAGAAGGATGTGTATTCTGATATTGTTGGGTGGAACACTCTGTAAAGTTCTACTAAGTATATTTGTTCACAAGTTTGGTTTAGTTCTGTTATTTCTTTGCTGATTTTTTGTCTAGTTGATCTATCTCTTTGTGACAATGCTGTGTTAAAGTCCCCTTTAAGATGGTGCTATTGCTTACTTGCTTTTTCATGTCTTTTAAAATTTGGCTTGGATACTTGAGTCCTCCTGTATTTAGTGCATATGTATTTATGATTGCTATTGCTTTCTCTTGCAGTTTTCCCCTAACAAGTATGTAGTGACCTTTTTCTTTAATCTCTTTTGATCATTCTTGGTTTGAAGTTCACATTGTCTGCAAACAATATACCTACCCATGCTTTTCTCAAGGTTCCTGTCACATGGAGTATTGTTTTCCATCCTTTGAACCTGAGTCCATCAATTTCCTTTTGCATTAAATGTGTTTCTTGTATACAGCATATTGTTGGATTTTCTTTCTTGATCCACTCTGCCAGTCTGCTTCTTTTGGCTGGTGAATTGAGGCCATTTACATTAATGGTTATAATTGATATGTATTGGCTGATCTTTGTCACATTATTTTCTTGCTGTTGGTTCCCTACTTTCCCCCTCTTTAATTGCTTGCTCTGCTTGGTGGCTCCTTTCTATAGTTGTTCTTGAAATTGTGGTCATTTTTATCTCTTTCTAGAATATCTTTTAGTGCTCTTTGTAGGGTTGGTTTGACACTCATGAATTTCTTTAGTTGTTCTTTTTTGTTTTGTTTTGTTTTTGATTTTTCTGGTACTGGGAATCAAACTCATGACCTTGCGCTTGTCAGGCAGGCACTGTGCCCCTGAGCTAAATTCCAAGCCCCCTTTAGTTGTTCTCCACTGTGGAAGTGTTTTATTTCTCCATTAATTTTGAAGGATAGTTTTGGAGGGTACATCAATCTGGGTTGGAGGTTGTTTTCTTTCAGGACCTGAAATACTTCTCTCCAAGCTCTTCTTGACTTGATGGTTTGGGTTGAGAAGTCTGCTATGATTCTGATGGGCTTTCCTTTATAGGTGATCTATTACTCTTCTGCAATAACTTTTCATATTCTGTTCTTTTGCTAAATCTGAGATCTTGATTATTATATACCTGGGTGTAGATTTAGTTTGGTTATGGCTAACGGGAGTTTTATATGCCTCACTTACCTGTATATCAGATTCTTCTTCCATGCTTGGGAAAATTTCTGCTATTACTTCTGTAAATAGTCTTTTTATGTCATTTGTGTTGACTCCTGCTGTTTCTTTGACACCTATTAATCTTATATCGCTTTCCTTTGCCTCATCTTGTAGCTGTTGAATTGTTATTTCCTGCTTCCTTGTTATTTTTAAGAGGTCTTTCCTTTCACAATCATTAGCTACAATGCTGTCTTCAAGGTCTGAAAGTCTATCTTCAGTTTCCTTCAAGCAGTTTGCCAGCTTTGAATAGAATTATTAACTTCCTTGATATCTCTTTGAATCTATTTCATGCATTCTAATTCTCTCCTTATTGTTCATCCAAGGTTTCTGTCATGTTTTCTTTACTTCAGTTGCTATCATCTCAGAAATTTCAGGTATGTGACTTTCAGGTTCTTTTATGTTGATGTCTCCTGGACTTGTCCAGGGTGTGGTGCAGGTTTGAGATTGCATTTTGCTCCTTCATTTTGTCATTTTTGAAGATCCTGTGCTTCTCCATGGCACAGCATTGCTCCCACGATGGTGGGGTTGGGCAGAATGCAGTCTCTCCCCTCCTGGGTAGGCAACCAATGGTCCCAAGTTTCCCCAGAGCTCAGTGTGGCTGCCGTGAAGATAGAGAGAGAAGGCATGGCTCACCAAGTCTCCCAAAGCTCCCTGGGGCTCAGCGTGGTTTCTGTAACTGTGGGCGGTACACAGCTCACTGAGGTTCCTGAAGCTCCCCAGGTCTCAGTGTCACTCCCCTAATGGTGTGGGAGTGTGGCTCATGGCTCACCAAGGCTCCCAAAGCTCCCCCAGGATCACTGTGGCCTCTGAAATGGAGGGGGCCTCTCTCATGTTGTATAAATGATTACAGTTGTCCCTCACTATATCACAGTTCACTTATTGTGGCTTCACTGTATGATGGGTTTTTTAAAAAAATATATCTAACTCTGTATTGCAGAGTTTTCACTTTGCAGGATTTTGCGGTATATAGGTATTTATATAATATTTATGATTTTAATTATTTTTGCCTAAAATTTAAAACAATATAAAAATATAAAAAATGTTAATTCAAACATATTAAAAGAATACTGAATAAAAATAAAATACAGTATGTATTTCATCAGTGGATGAATACTGTACTGTGCACAATGGAAATGCAGTTTGCTGCTACATCATGTATTTTCACCTGTGGCTGGGGTCTCTGGAACATAACTCCCACAATAGGTGAGGAGTCACTGTATTCATGATAAAGAATTTTAATCTGACTCTTGTGATTTTTTTTTTGAGACAGGTCTCACTATATAGTTCAGGGTGGCCTTGAAATCACTGTGTAGCCCAGGCTGGCCTTGAACTCATGGCTATCCTCTTGTCTCAGCCTCCTGAATGCTGGGATTACAGGTGTGTATCATCATACCCAGCAAAGCTTTATCGCTTTAATAAACAAATCTTTTTTTTTTTTCTTGATTGGCCATTCAGAAATGTGTGGTTCTATTTTCTGTCTTCATTACATAGGGAGACTATTTGGAACACATACAAGGAAGGCATTTATCACCACTTGGTAGCAGAATGTACCCTACATTTAGTCATTAACACTCTTCATGAAAGATGAAGCTCTTCAAATAACTTTCTTTTTCAAATAACTTTTTAAAAAGAAAAATACATACAAAAACACAGAAAAAGTTTAGATGGTCTCAAAATTAGATGTTATTAAGCATACTTGGTTTAACTTGTAGGTAACCCAATTCTATGGGAAAGAGAAGCTGTATACCAATCTTCTAAGACACATGGATTTCTATATTATGCCAGTGGTTAATGTGGATGGGTATGTCCACACATGGCAAAAGGTAAGTAAAGGCAAAGAAAGCACATCATGCCTCCTTTTGGAGAAAAAGCTATGTCAGCTGAATTATATACAGAATCTTGAATCTTGTCACAACAGTGTTATGAAAATATTCTTAATTTCTATTATGGAAAATTTCAAACATATGTAAAAGTAGACAGAATTGTATGGTCATATCCTGTGGAACCATCACACATCCTCAGTGATAATCTATCAAAAACCAGGTTAAATAACCCTAAGTTATTGCAGGATGATCAGGCCCACAATCTCCCAAGTGAGTGGACAGCAAAGCTTAAATAAATGCAGACAATGGTAATGATTTTAGGCACCAGGAGGGACTAACTCCCTTACAGTTTCAGTATTCTCTGAGTTAGGCCAAGACTGCCCTGGGTGGCCCATATTTATTTGGTTTTCAAACAAAGGATGAGGATACTCAAGAAAATATGGGAATCTAGCAGGACCTTGGGAGAATTTTCCCAAGTAGTAAATTATGTCAATCAGGAGAACTACCTTATCTTTAGGTTGGTATTTATTGTAGGGGTGTGAAGCCTGCAGCTGCTGTCTCCTTGTAGTTAATTGGGGTTGGAGCCAAACATCTTCAGCTGTGGCCTAACCTTGTCAGACAAGGTGCCTAAGCTTCAGACAACTCACAAGTAAACACGGAAAGCCAATTGGTTAATATTAAATACTGCTCAGAACCACTTTGTAGTGGTCCCCAATAATAATCGACACATGGCTAATCTTGTCTCATCTATATCCTCCACTCACTTCTATCATATCCACATTATTTTGAAGCAAATCCCAGATACTGTATCACCATCTTACTAATAAATATTTGATCATGCATCTCAGAAAGAAAACTTTAAAAAATAACTGCAGTACCAAAAGAGAGCATTGAGAGTCATGGTTCATAGTTTTGACTTGAAGTAGCAAGTTATTTTGATTTTTTTAAAGGAGCTCAAAGTGAGCCTTGCATACATTAATTTAAAGGAAATAAGATTAAACAAGAAGGTTAATAAGGAGCCTAGTGGGATCAAACAAAAATTTTTATTTACGTGTGTAAAAATTCATCAAATATTACCATTTTGTTTGGATGGAACTAAAATAGTTTGAGTTAATGTGATTGGAATGTGGATAGAAATGGGGATTGTGTGAAAGGGTTTCTGCAGAGATAGCAAGAGGATGAGGTCATGCAAGGTATGGGAAAGAGAGAAACCCCAAGCCCCAACCCTGGAACTTGTGTCTTTCCTTTTTTGGAAATATGACCACTATGATTATCACTTCCTGTTTTGTTTATTTAGAATAGAATGTGGAGAAAGAACCTCTCGTTTCATGAGAACAATCGTTGCATTGGAACAGACCTGAACAGAAACTTTGCTTCTAAACACTGGTGTGGTAGGTTGTTTGCTGTATTTGTAACATTGTCTTTTCATTAGGAGGATGAGAAAGTCTGTGAATATAAAGTAATTATAGGAAAGCCAGTTTGAGCTGGAAGATAATTCAAATAATAAACTTCTGAGGAAGCTGTAATGCTATGAGTGTTGAATACAGTCAGCCATTTGCTTTAATGTCCTCAACTTGCTCTTTGTTTCCTTATCTTTAAAATGAAGAGGTTGTACCAGTTCTTTAAGATACCTTCTAACTTCATTTTCTGAGTTCTTTATGTATTACAGATATTAGTCTTCTATCCAAGGACTCAAAAATTAGACCCTCAAAATAAAATGCCCAATCAAAAAATGGACAATTAAAATGAATAAACATATCTCATGTGAAGTACAAATGGTTAATAAATACATGAGAAAAAATGTTCCTCATCTCTGCCCATTAGAGAAGTGCAAATTAAAACAACACACAGACTCCATCTTACTCCAGAAAGAATGGTTACCAGAAATCAAATAATAACAAATGCTGGAGAAGCATTCGCTATTGTTAGTGGAAAAGTAACAGGAACCCTTCTATATTGTTGTCGAAGGGGAGGGCTTCAGTGCCGAGGCCCTCAGTTCAATCCTGGGTACTGAAAAAAAAAAAAAAAAAAAAAAAAAACCAGAACAAAACAGAAACAGCTATAAACTAAATCAAGCAATGAACTTAATTCATTTCTATTTTTTAAAACAGCCACAGGTGGCTCTATGGGAATGAAGATATTGTACCCACAGAGATAGCCTGTTCTTTGCACATGTTTAACCTACACATGTGATCTTCCATGTGTACTTTGAAAGAAGTAAAAGTTTGTAAGTCTGAACATTTCATCATTACTCCAGCAAACAAGTGAAAGCCTCAAGACAAACTACTTTCCAAGTCTTTATTTCCTTTCCACTTCCAATTAGAACCCCATGAAGGCAGGGGCCACTACCCATACCCTTACCCAGTGCCTGGAGGGAGCTCAGAAAGTATTGGTGAAATGAACCTCTGGGATATCACCAGAGGAAGGAGTAATTAATCCTGATTTAGGTCTAAGGCAGTGATGGTGAACCTTTTCGAGACTGGGTGCCCAAACTTTCATCACAAAACCAACTTTTTTGTTTATTTATTGCGAAGTACCAACATTGAAATTAAACCTGAATATCCAATGCTCAGCCGCAGGGCTGACTTGCCAACACAGAGGGCTCTGCGTGCCCACTGCAGCATAGTTGTAAACAGAGCCCTCCTTCTGCCATCACCTATGTGTGCCACAGGTTCACCACCAGTGGTCTAAGGGAGTCACTCAATGGTTCCCCTCAGGGCCGCCCTGCAGAGTACTATCCAGGTGTTCAGCGTGGCTTGGAGGCTGCTGCAGCGCTGACACCTGGTCAGTGACTCAGAGAAGCAGCTGCTGCTGTAACAAAGAAGCCAGATAAACGGTATACAGTACTGTACCAAGATCTACTCAGGGCAAAGTCATAAACATGTTTCATCTCCAGTGTTATAGGCTACTCAGGTCTGTAAACTCAAATCCCTTTGCCTGCTGCTCCCAAACAAACCACAGGAGGCACGGTGGAAAGCTTGCAGGGGATGAAGGAGCCTCACACTGCCACAAATCACCATGTTACTTTGTCCAGATGTGTGCCTTTCACAGTGAGGAAGAGAGGGGAGAGTAAAATAAAACAGTAGAAAACTTCAAGCTTGCTTGATGCTTCTCAGTCATCCCCTGCTCCTTCCTTTGCCTGTGGAAAAGAAACAGGACCCTGACCTCCTACTGCCATCACCTGCATATTTTGTCTATTCCTCTGCGCTGAGAAGGGGGCATGGTTCTGCCCTGGTATGAGAAAATTTGGAGAAGTAGCTTGTCCCTAAAGGAAACAACTTTAACTTTTAAAGTTCTATTTTGCCTTTCCAGTTATACTACATTTTACTGTCTACATATTATAATTTCTGGGAAAGTTATGCCTCAGTCAAGCCTGACATTTTCTATGTTGCCAGTAACACAATACTACAGTTGGAGTAGAGGAGAAGAGGTTCATTTTCAGTGATGGTGCAATTCCAAGGACAAGGGGCCGCTTCTGGTAATAGCTCCCTTGCTGGCACAGTCCAGGGGCAGCACCGCGCATCCCATGGCAAGAGTCAGAGCTAGCCAAGTTGGCTTTTATAGTTTAACCCATTCATCACATGAATGGATGAACTCATTCCTGAGAGCAGACCCCAAATTATCTCTAAAGTGTCCCACCTGCCCCTACCCTTAATGTCTCATATGGAGGATTAAATTTCAACATGCATTTCAGAGGACACAAACCACATTCAAACCACAGCGAGTTCCTTGGTCAGGGACATATAACTAAGAAGTGGCAGAGCTGGGATGTAAACTCAGGTTGACTCCAAATTTATTAAAATAAGCCTGCACCTGACAATCACTTTTTGTCAGTTCCCTTTAAAATTTTTTATTTTCAGTTGGTGTTCAATTCATTTTGGTGTTCATTCACTCTTCATGTTGAAGTCAATATTCTGCAGTTTGAATAGTCAGTTACTTAAAATATATTGTTATTCTCATTAAGAAATATCTTAATTCCTGCTTAGGCACTATATTATTACATCACCCAGAGTTAAAACAGAAACAGAAGCTGTAAACATATATAGCCAAGAGAGTACCCAATAAAACAAAACATAATTATAAGGAACCTTTTTTTAACCATGTGCCCAAACATCTTTTTAGTAGTACAGAAATAAGACACTGAAAAATATTGAAATCTTCTTTCTCTTTCTTTTTTTCTTTCCCTCTTTCTTCCTGTCTTCCCTTCTTCTTTTCTTTCTTTTTCTTTTTTCTTTTTTCTCTTTCCTTCCTTCCTCTGTCTTTCTGCCATACTAAAGATTAAACCCAATGTCTTTGCAATCATCTGCATTCTCCAGTACTTTTTTTATTTTGAGAAAGGACATTACTGTGCTTGCCAGGCTGGGCTCAAATTTGTGGCTCCCCTATTTCAGATTCCCAGAAAGTGCCTTTGTGATACTGTTATCATCCAAACCAGGCTGCTGTCTAATGAAGTTGAAGAATTAAATCGCAGATAACTAGGCAGTTAAGGGGAGTATTTATTGAAAGCATAAGAAGAAGAAAACCCAGAGTGGGTTGTCTATAGAGTCTTTTATGAATAAACAGAGCACAGAGGAATCTGTTTAGTGTCCAAGGGTCACCTACCACAGTTAGCCCCATGGGTTTAAAGTAACAAATTAGGGTTTTGGCTTTCTAATGCAGAGTTTAAAAGAAATGGGATGTGCATTCCCACTGTCTGTCAGTTTACCCACCTGGCAGGCTCCCAAAATTAGAACTGCTCAGAATCAAAGCTGCCCAGCAGGGCACCTATGCTGTTTTCTGTCATTGATTAGTTTAGATGTCCTTGCTAGTCATGCAGAAATCTGTTGCTCATTTCTAGAACAAGCGTCCTTGCTCCTGGCATATAGCCATTTTAACCTTTATCAGCAGGTTAAGAAAGCAGGAAAAGAAATTGTGCACAACAGCTACACTTGGCTTAAAAATTTACCCTAAAGATCTTTATATCTAGAGAGCTTTAATATACACAAGGAACTCAGTGAGGGTTTGAAGAGGCCAGGGATGTTATTTAGCAAGTACAAGTCACATAGCATTCTAGATAGGAAGATAAACTTGAGGCCAAAATTATAATTAGCATGCTAGAGCCAAGTAAGAGGGAGGGAGAAAGCAAGCTAACACTAGAGAAACCATCGGAAAAGACTCTAGAAAAAGAAAACACCTATAAGGAGTCCTTGATAGGCAGCTCTAGGACACAGGAAGGTCATGGCAGGCAGCTGATAAGGGATGAAATGGAGCCTTTCCAGTGGGCCTATGGACTTCTACCAGCTGGGAACAGGTGAGATAAAATACCTACATGCTTCCCTGGCCCCCTCTGATGTGGTGGGACATGTTAGGAATTGAGCCCAGTGCCGTGAGAGAACTTCCTGAGCTCCCCAGCTCCCATTAATCTCCTCCATCCTCTAGCTCCCTGCCTCTCCCTGATAGCTAATATTAGAAAAAAAGTGAAAGGATTTGAGTTTTCTGACAGATGAAAGCCTGAGTGGGAGAGAAGAGACAAAAAGGGGGCTGGGGTTTTCTTAGGGAAACAGGAGAAAAGAAAAGAAGCAAACCAGAGGGCTTCCTCTCAGTTTCAGTCTACAGATTTCACCTGGTCCTGAGAATAACATCAGCTATCACCTGAATGACCACTTGAGTCGGCATGGCTTAGGACATGTTCCCAGCCATTCAAAAAATGGGAGCTATGATATCAGGTGGACTGAGTTTAAGCCCTTTGGTTGGGAGAGAGGGAGGAGAGAGAGATCAAAAGAGCAGTTTAGTGGATCTCCATTTACCTAAAGTGATTAGAATGCAAAAATGTGCATGATTTAAAGAAATTGCCTTCGTTAGGTGTCACCCCAAAGCTTCTCCATGGTGTCTTAGGACTGAGTTTTCCATGCTGGTTGTATGAGAAACTTTGCTTGAGGCCTGGATGGGGCAATCCTTGTATGTGTCTCCCTGGTGAGCAAGTTTTAGTTCCATATTACTAGGAACAGGGTATGCGGATCTGAGAGAGTATTTAACAAGGCTGTCACACATCACAGAGAATACTTCTCAACCTCTCTTTCCATTGTGGTTAGAGCAAGCAAGTGCCTCTTGTCTTTGGTGCTTTTATGTACAAGCATTCATCTTCTAGTGACTTTGGGAGACTCTAGCTGCTGGAAAGGAAAAACAAACAAGGTTGCAGAAGTTTGTAGATAGGGAGAGATAAAAATGGTAAAAAAAAAAAAAAAAGAAAGAAAGAAAGAAAAAGATAAACTATGTTCCAGAGGACAAAGGCTGGTGGAAACTGTGCCTTGGAAAGCAAGGGGTAGAAGGAAGTGGGGAAGAAAAAAAATGAAAAGCCTTTGGTAGGCTGGATGTACCGAAGTCATCTTCTCAATGCTTCTTTTACCTCTTGGCTGGCTTTCCAAGAGAAAACTTCAGCAGCTGGATCTGAGGAAGTCCCTGAGGTTGAAATAAGGAATCTGACCACTCTTTTGTAGAAAAAGTGTGTAGGTTCCCTGAGTCCTGTTACAGAAAAAGCATTTTCAGGACATGGCAGTAAGAGGCACAGGAAAGGTTTATTAGGCACAGATTTCAGGACACACTCAAAAGTGGAGTGTGGGCACTCTGAGAAATGAGATGTATTATTTCTAGGAACATGAAACATACTTTTCTTAAAGAACATAAACCCCAGGAGAAGGTGGCCCATCCCCATGATGGGTATTAGCCCATTCTACAGGTATGGCCCCAGGGGGTTTATTTTTAGGTAACTTGGATTCTCTCATGCTATTCTCTTTTATCTTAGGATCAGGCTTCTGCTCTTTACTTTCTCAATCTAACCAATTTGCAAATTTTCAGTATTCCTAAGGGATTTGGGGTATGGTAAGTCTGTCAGGGATGATGATGATGACGGACAGCAACAGTTGCAGAACACATACTGTATGCCTGGCGTTCTACATAGCACTTCGTTCGCATGAGCTCGTTGTATCTCCATTTAACCCTCATTTAACGTATAATTGCCCTCATTTTGCAGAAAAGAAAATTGAGGTTTGGGTAGGTTTAAAAAAATAACTCAAGCTCATATAACTACTGAATGGCAAATTGAATATAATGATGGGATGCTTGACACTATGCTGCATAGCTTCTTATTTTGATGCATGGCTACCACCGACAGTGGCATCTGCATATCTTAAAATAACACTGTGTAGTTCATATAGTTGTTGTGAGGAACAACTGAGATGTTACCTAAATATTAACAGTGCTCTTGATATCCAGCATGTGCTCTATGGGTGTCAGCTGGTAGCTGAACTATTGTTATCTTTTCTTCATTCGAGGGGGTAGCTGGACTGAGACTACACTCTAGCCTCAATTTCAGTTTATCACTGGAGGGATTCAGATCAGCAGAACATAAATTAAAGATGCAATTCTGGAACTTCAATTGCTTCCAGCAAGCAATAATCCTTTGGGTCAACTGTGACTCTCTGGGACTCTACTCATGTGAGTTAGGGAGAGAGGGAGAAGTGTTGAAGGCAGGATCTGAAGTAGAGATACTATAATCTCTCAACAGCATGAATGAACATTGTCACGACACCAAATGTCACTATCCCATTTTACTTACTAAACCATCTAGCAAGATAAATTAACACAGGAGGTAGTCTTGCATATTCTGAGTTCACAAGTGAGGCTCTTTTATGGACTATATACTTAGTAATTTTAAAACTACAAATATTAGAAAAAACAAAATTACAGTCAATTAAAGCAAATGTGGTTTACTTTTCCTCACCCAACCAGAAGTTTGGAAGCAGAGCTGGCATCTCTGAGACTTCCAGTGTTTTCTCAAGGTTGCAAGACAGCTGCTCCAAGGCAACAAGGGAGACAGGGTCTAGAAATAAGGGTATGTGGTATGTTATGTATGTAAATATTTGGCCTCAAAAGAAACATGAGCAACGCTCCTTCATATTAGGTTATGCTCTTTACAGACCTCCCTAACCCATTTACCTAAAAATGCCGTGTCACAGGTACTAGGGGAATACACTGTCAGGGAAATCAGAAATATGACAGTAGGTCCCCTCAAAGTTCTCCTTTATCAATTTCACTACAGAAGAAGGTGCATCAAGTTTCTCATGCTCTGAAACCTACTGTGGACCTTATCCTGAATCAGAACCAGAAGTAAAGGCAGTGGCAGATTTCTTGAGAAAAAATATTAACCATATTAAAGCTTACATCAGCATGCATTCATACTCCCAGCGGATACTGTTCCCATACTCCTATAACAGAAGCAAAAGCAAAGATCATGAGGAACTGGTAAGTGCTACTTAATTATTTTTCTCATTAGATTTAAGAAATAAAATAATACTTAGTTCTAGAAACAAAACAATGGCAAAAATTTTTTTCCTCTGGATGACAAATGAATAGATGTTTGTACTGTGGTCTAACTCTGTCAAGAGTCTCCCTGAGGTCAAGATTCACTGGATTCAGGAGTTGGAAGTTTTAGAACTTCATTGAGGCAAGAGTTTTTTTTAATTGCCCATTTTTTAGAATGTCATGAACCATAGGAAGGTCAAAGACCCACACAGGTGTGCAAATATGCTGCTTCAGTTGATTCAGTGCTCACTTGGCATGAGTGAGACTCTGAGTTCAATCCCCAGAACAAATATCACAAATAGAGGGCAGTAACACACTCTCACTGTATCAACACATCCCAGTAGGGGACATAGTGGTGGCTGGGATGGAAATGGGTAGCCTCTAACTCTTTCAGAGGGAAGAGCTGCGATAAGTGAGGGGATGCAGTAGCTTCTACTTTTGAGGGTTTCACTACCTATTAAGGGGAGACACACTGCAAAAAATAAGAATAATAAAATACAATTGATATCAAGGACAGACATCACTTCAGGCAGTTTTGAAAGAAGATTTCTATGTACTCAGAGGGAAGGGATGACCTTCCAAGCAGAAGAGATGGCAATGCTCGCAGGAAGCTTGCCCAAGGGACGAGGAGAGTGCAGGAGTGGAGGGTACATCATCAGAAAGTAGGCACAGTCACCTTGTGAAGGGATTTAAATGTCAGAAAGAATTTGTATTTTTTATGTAGGAAATGGGGATCCATTAAAATGTAAGTCTTGGACAAAGGTATGACTCAATATCATATACATGGATTAAAAAAAATGCCCACTGATATTCCTCTGGATTTTTCCAGAGGAGATAGTGATAACCATGAGGCTAGTCTCAATTTCTGGGTTAAGTGGGAACTTCAGAAAAGATCTTCGTAAGCTAAAACCAAATGTAGTCCAACTTAGTAGTCTTACTTATTATCCTGTTACTTACTGAGAGCATAATCTTTTTTATTTGTGAATCTTTGGGAGTCATTAGACATTTTAAACAAGAAGAAAATACTATTTGTGAAGAATGAGAAATGCATCATGCATGCAGTGGGTGTATATGTATTTAGAGAAACTGGATTTAATGTTTGATGATAATCTTGTCTAGGAATGGGGTAAGTCCAAGCCTGGATTCCTGAAAAGCTATGTGAGAATTTTTTTGGCACAAATTAAAATATAAAGAGTTCTGGAGGAGTTTATATTTAAAACCAACCATTTGTGATTGCCATAAAGTTAAAAACATTTTTAATGTATTCAGCTTAATTTACTTTTTGGATAAATCTAGATTTTTACATGCATAATTTTATTCAATTAATGTAACTGTTTTTCAGAATTCCACCTATTCTGTTTCAAAGCTGCACATTAATTTAAATTCTATACCCTGTTGCTTCTAGTCTCTAGTGGCCAGTGCAGCAGTTCGTGCTATTGAGAGTATTCATAAAAATACCAAGTATACACATGGCAGTGGCTCAGAGTCTTTATGTAAGTATTTCTTTTTAAGATTTTGGAGAACTGTGAGTTATTAAAGAAATCTGTATTTAGTTTTTCTCTGTAGGTTTAATTTTCCAAATTGAACCTTTAAACAAGATCCTTCATCAGTGAAAAAATTGTCTTCCACAAAACCAGTCCCTGGTATCAAAAATGCTGGAGACTGCTGTTTTACACTATACAAATCTAGGGAATTCCATTTATCTTAGGTGCTTTTTAACAAGAGCCTGTACTCAAGAATATAGCTCAGAACATTCACAGTTGAATGTTTTTATTAATTTATGCTGGATGATATTTACTGGGACATTTCTAAGTACCCATAGTGGAATGACAGATGATGATCTTGTACTTTTGAAGATGGAGGGTAAATGGCATAAGAGGAATAAAGAGTAAACATGTAGCCATATATCAGTAAACTGCAGCCAATAGCCCAAGTCCAGGCCACTGGACTTTTATATAACCAGTGAGCTAAGAATGATTTCTCATCTTTTTAAATGGCCAAAAAAAAACATAAAAAGAACAAATTTTTGACATGTGAAAATTATATGAAATTCATATTTGTGGATATAAATAAAATGTCATTGTAACACAGTTCTGCTCATTCATTTGCATATGGTGTATGACGGCTTTCATAACAGCAGACTTCAATAATTCTAACAAGGACAATGTGGCCTACAAAACCTAAAATATTTAAAATCTGGTCCTTTAGAGAATGTCTGCCAACTCTAATGTTAAACAAGTAGTAAAACACAGTACAATTTCATCAGGCGCTTTGAAGAAAATAAACTAGGCTTAAAGGTTTAATAATGACTGTAGATAAGAAAGGCAATTTAGTAAAGAAATTTGAAAAGGTCTTGGCACAGTGCCAGTTCTGGGAGAACTACCTGATAAGTGGTTGCCAGGTAAAGGTATGAGGAAAGGCCAGAGGTAGGCAATAGCGTATGAAAAGGTTTGAAGATAATACATTCGTAGTCCAATGGTATGACCTACAATGTGTAAAAAGTCACATTTATATTATTGTATGTTGTTTGAGCAGCAAATGCTCTTTTAGGATGCCCCAAAATTTCCCTCTTCCTCTTTCCCAACCACCCCATATCTGTGTCCCTGGGTTTACTGCTGACTTTGCTGTTGCAGACCCAGGTCCTTACATTGTAGAGAAATACTTTCACAATTGAGAGCTCCTTTGTTCCCATCTTCTTTATTATTGTTTCCCAAAGCATTAACTACAGTGAGTCAGGGCTGCAGAAGCTTTTGGAACAGCCCTGTTATGGTGGAGTCAGTCTATCTACACACACTCATTTATCCAGGATGCATGAGTATATACACGTATGTGTAAGCACAGGACAAATGCTGGAAGAATAAATGCCAGATGTTGATCATGATTATCAAAAGTACTTGCTGAATAAATTAAATCACACTTGACAGCTATTTTAAATATCATAATTAATACTGCAGTAAACAACGTAGTAATCAATCCGAGTATAAGCAAAAAGAGGCAAAAATGGTTATTCTTTGCATATTATTTAATTGTTTATCTGGAAAACTATACAAACCAACCAAAAAAATTAATATCAGTCAGTTAGGTAAGGTAGCCAAGAGCTACATACACACAAATCTAGAACTTTTTTATGTTGTTTGTTTCTTTGAGACAGGATATCACCATGTAATTCAGGCTGGGCTTAAACTCACTATGTAGCTCTAGCTGGCCTTGAACTCATAGCAATCCTCTGCCTCACCTCCTTAGTGCTGGGATTACAGGCATGTGCCACCATGCCCAGCTAGAACTTTCTTATATATAAAAATAATCATATAGAAAATAAAGTGGAAAAAAGACCTGGCTGTATCCCATTACATACATACATATATACATACAAACTTACATATAAATACACATGTATGAATTTGTTGTTAAATGTATGTCTGTGTGTAGGCATACAATAAATCCATGAACTCTATATAAAAATGTAGAAAACTGTTTTGCTGTATATAATAGAAGGTAGAAAGAGCCTTCTTATTTTTGAGAAATATAAAAATTTTCCTAATTTGTATATTTAATGCAATTCTAATGAACACTTAAATGAGCTTGAAATTCATTTGAAAGAGTAAATTTGGTAGAAGAGCTTATAAAATACCAAAAATAAGACTAGTAAGAGAGAACTGCTCCCAACCAAGTGTTAATGCACATTATAAACTTATAGTAATTAGGACAAACCAACCAAAAAGGGTCTCAAAAGGAGAGATCAATAGAAGGGACTAGAAAGCACAAAAATATACTCAAATAGTATAAGAGACCTAGTGTCTGTTAAAGAAGGCACTTTAAACCAATTAAGAATGATGTTAACTTGCCAAGCATGGTGGCACATGTCTGTAATTCCAGCACTCTGGAGGCTGAGGCAGGGGGATCACCCCATGTTCAAGGCCAGCCTGAACCACACAGTGAGACCCTGTCTCAAAAAGAAAAACAAAAAAGGAGAATGATGTCAACTAATTCAATAATAAGAGTTGGAAGAGCTGACAAATTATTTAGCATTAAAAACAATTGTTATTAACAAGTATTGCACAATAAATTCCAAACAGGTCAGATATTAAAGTATAAAATCCTTGCCATAAACAAAATTGAAAACTAAATATCTGAATAAGAGAAAGAATTTCTCCACATATTACACAGGGTTAATAACATTCATGTTTTTATAAACAATCTGTAAAGTGAATAATGTGGAAAGATGAGCAAGGGTAATTGCTAAAAATGTAAGATGTACAATGATATAAGATATGCAACTCATGTTTTGACGTTATCGACCATTTGTATATTATTTTCTCACCAACAAAATTGCAAAATCGCGTAATTTTCATCAATGGTTCAGGAGGGGGATGAAGACATTCATACCCTGCTAGTGTGAAACGCGTAAAACTCGTTCAATTATTTTGAAATATATTTGGGAACATGTATATCATAATTGTAAAAAGCACATAACTAAAAAGCACATAGACTAGCAAATCAACTTGTAGGAAAGAATATTCTAAAGAAACAATTATTTATAAACAAGGTGCTCATTGTAAGCTTTATATTAAATTGGAACAAATTTAAAGGTGCCCAAATAGATGATTATTTAAATCGATTATATCCAGCTTTACAATGCAGTGGCATGAGATTACAGAAAATGATGGTGTATCTCTGAACTCTATCACATTCGCAAATGTTGCAGTGATTATGTTTAGAAATGTTACTATACATATACAAATGAATAGTGATTTTATTTATGTAGTAAAGTAGTGAAAACTTAAGTGAATGCATGCGCTGAAAAAAATACTGCACTAAAACGTTGGTGTTCATCACTCCTCGGTAGGATTATAGTGGGGTTATGGGTAACTTTTGTTGTCTTCCTTAACCTGATTCCCGTTAATCTCCATTTCCTACAAGAAACTCAGGTAATTCCATGAGAAAAAAGCTACTTTCATTTTTACCAAAAAAACCCTCATTTTGTGGATTAATTTGAAACATCCATTTTTGAAAAAGTAATTTTTCTTCTTGTTTTAGACCTGGCTCCTGGAGGTTCCGACGACTGGATCTATGATTTGGGGATCAAGTACTCATTTACATTCGAACTTCGCGATACAGGCAGATACGGATTTTTGCTGCCAGAACGTTACATCAAACCAACTTGTACAGAAACTCTCGCAGCAGTCTCTAAAATAGCATGGCATGTCATCAGGAATGTTTAATGCCCTCGGTTTCTCACTCTGCTTCCGTACTTTTACCGATTCTAAAGAGACCAAATCATACTAGTCTCTAAGTTTGATCAGTAGTTTTTTGAGAAAAGGTTTTCCCATTTCTTGTTTTTGTCAAAGAACACAATATGTTACTTTGAAATTAAGACAAAGGTTCACGAGTATGTTCAATTTTTTAAAATTTTTATGAGGCTAGGCAGTCATCTACTTTCTGATGTTTCACTAGCTATCTCAAGCAACTGTAATAAACAGATCCACGGCACTCACTGGATCTAACCAACAGAAAGGTGGTCGGGAATACCGTACACTCAAGTTTTCCGGTCGCCTCAATGAACCTCAGCTTGCGCCCCTACAACCGCGCCCGTGCACTCCGCCCGCCGCAGTCACTGGCGCAGCCCCGGCCCGGAGCCCTGCGAGCCGGGCGGACCCCGCCTCTCGCCCAGGCTCCGCCGCTCAATAAACACTGTGGGACGAACGAAAAGAACGAGTGTAATTACTTTCGATAACAAACACGATACTTGGAGCACCAACTCAGTGTAACACGGTCTATAATAAAAGAGGAAACAATTTCCCTTTGAACTGCGATTTAGCGCTCCCAGCTCCCGCTTGCTCTCCCGGGTTTCTCACAACACACACCGCACACCTCCAGAGCCAGCCAGCGCCGCGCTCAGCAGAGCCGACGTTACGCCTGGGGCGGGGCAGGGGCGGGGCCTGCGCGTGACGACTAATCTGGCGGCCGGAAGCTGCCTGCGTCCACACAAGGACTGGGCAAGCCTCTGACTTCCGGTGGCGTTTTGAGGCGATCCGGCTGGCGGCCTGGTAGTGTTTTCGTTTCCGTTTCTCACTTCTCAGCTTCTTGGTTCTGTTTTTTCCTACGTTCGGGGCTCGCTTGACCGGGCGAAGTGGCGAGCGACTTCCGCTTCTCAGCCGCCGCGGAGCCCCTCGCTCGCCGAGGCCGGTTCCCGGGAGCCGCGCGTGCACCTCCCTTCCTTGTCCTCCTCCCGGGCCCGGGCGCGGGACGCACTGTCGCCTCCCGCCGGCCCCGCTCCTCGGAGCGGAGGTGGCGGTGGCATCTCGGAGCTGCGCTTGCGAAGGGAACTTGGGGAGGAGGTAAGCGGTCGCGGGGTCGGTGCGGGTGTGTGAGAAGCTGCCGGCCGACCCCGGAATGGGGAGGCCCGAGTTACGGTCTGTCATCACCGCTTCGGGTTTGAGCGCCGCTTGAACTTCCTGCACCAGCTCTGCAGCGGCTCCCTGTGTCTGGACCTAGTGTCTTGCTCTGGTGGTTCTGGCCTTCGGGTCAGGGGACAGATCTGCCCACGCAGAAGCTGCGCCTCCCTGCTAGGTGAGGGCGGTAGGCGTGGGCCCCCTTGAGCGAGCTTCTCCGTGTGCGCTAGAACGGTGCGCAGTGTGGTCCTAGTGTGGAGTCTCTCTTTTTACCCATTTCATATCTATTAGAGAAAAAAGGATCTTCTCTTTGATTGTGTTTGGTCTTGTTTAGGTAACGATGTAAGTCCGGGAGTTGAGGAGAGCTACTTTATCCTCCGCAAGGCGGTTACTTTTGGCAGCTGTCTTGTCAAAAACGAGAAGAATAAAAGGAGAGGGTCTGCAGTTGGCAATTTTTTTCTAACTAGATTAGCATAATTTATGTGACTGGGAATAATTCATAGTTGATAATACTTACATGGTACAGTAAGATCTTGATTGCAGGTGATAGTATCCTAAACTATTTGGTTACATTGGGAAGATTGTAGATAATTTGAACTACTTTGAAAATTTGGAGCATGTGCAATCTCTTCAGGTTTTTGGGTGTTTAAGTCATTTGAAAAGTTTGGAAAAGGTCTTCACACTACAAACTTCCCAAGTTTGAGGTACTGTTTCGGTAAATCCAAATGACTAGGCAGTACATTCCATGTACATGTGACTAATTAGCTTTGTCTGGTTCTGTAATGTTTGACATTACTAAGTATAAATAAAAAAGCAAAAGATAACAAGCGGTGGAGAGGAAGGCAGGAAAAGGTGGTTAAAAAAGAAATTGGGATGTAAACATTATGTACTGCAAATATTTACTAATAAAAAACATTTGACATTATTGCCTTGAGTACCTCAACGACAGTAGTTTGGAGAGTCTTGTGGACACAATAATGCATTTTCAAATAACTTCAAGTTTCTTAAATATTTAGATTATAAGAAGACAGTTTCAACAAGAGACTAAGAAAATTGATGCAGGCATGTAGCAATTTATGTCTAAAAGTAGTACACTGAAACTTAAAACTTTTACTGTCCATCTGGTATGATCCGGTTTCATCAGTATATGGTATACCTCATAGTAATACAGTATAAAAACTGTGTAAGTTGTAGTTCATTCTGTATTGTTTGTGGAATAATCAGAACAGTTTTTACATGTTTGTCATAGTTTGTGTCTAAATGACCCCTCAAAGCCTCATGCTAGAGTTTATGATTGATTCATGGTCCAAAGCTGGGATTATGGGTGTGAGAGGTACATCCACCCTGGGGCGAGTAGTTTTCATACAATGCAAGGGTGGGAAAGAGGCTACTTGCCCTGCTCCTCCCTTTTACTCTTGTTGCTTTTATTGTTTTCCCGGCTACCATGAACTGTTGCCCTCTGCCTTGTGCCACTCTGCCTTGGAGCTAACCGAATATGGACTGAAACCCCCACAAACTGAGCTAAATAAACCTTTCCTTTTGGGTGTCAGGTATTTTTGTCTCAGCAATGAAAGAAAGGTAACCAAGACAATGTTCATTATAGACACATTTTAAGAATATACTTTATCTAAGGTTTGTTGAATCCATGGATGCAAAACCCATGCATGTGGAGGGCCAAATGTATGCCTCTTACTGAATTCCTAATGGTGATATAAAATGAACACTGATTTTGTATTTTGAGGTATGCAAACTTTTCTCATTTTCATATATGTAATATAAATTTAAAGTACTAAAATCTAGTACGTGGGTATTATTTTAACCTCTATATGTCATTAAAATTTTAGTGAGTCACCAGTGTTAATTTATATTACAATAAGCATTGGCATTTATGTATAAAAACAAAATTATTTAATTTATATTTGGAATATTGATTTTCAGTGGGTGTTAGTTTTCTTCACCTTTGCATCCCCCTAGTCTCTTTACAAAGATGGAGCTATTTTACCAGGTATTTGTTAGCAGTTGAAGGGTTAACTGGTGTGCAGATATATAATACAGGTATATTTTTTAGGGATTTTTAAATCTTTGGATAGTTTTTTATGTTGCCATGTTCATTTTAGAGTAGCTGCCAACATGGGGTGTCAGCTTAGTTCCATCAGTTCTATTTGGAATTCAGTTCAGATGCAGTTTAGAATTTTTTTTTTAAAAAAAACACAGTTCTTTTTGAAAAGTTCTCAAACTCTGTATCAGATAAATTTAGATATTTTTTCCTTTTAAGAATATGAAGGGGCTGGGTGTGGTGGCACGTACCTGCAATCCCAGCACTCGGGAGCCGGAGGTAGGAGGATCGTTGTGAGTTTGAGACCAGCCTGGGCTACAAAGTGAGCTCAAGGCCAGCCTGAACTGCATAGTGAGACCCTGTCTCAAAAACACAAGGAAAGAAAAGAATATGAAGGGTAAGGCAGATGTGGTGGCACACGCTTGTAATCCTAGCACTCAGGAAGATAGTTCAAGGCCAGCCTGGACTACATAGCAAGACCCTATCTCAGAAAGCCAAAAAATTTTTAAAAAAATTTTAAAAAAGAATATGCAGTATGAAGACACCTTGTTTTTAATGTAACCCTTTTACTCTGAGAAGTTCAAGATATAGGAATTTGTCCTACTACTTCATTTGGAATATTTGTGTAGTTCTAATTGCTTCATTTTTTGACCATTACCTAGTAGGCTGCTACTTAACATAATTTATGCTTTCTTTCATTTATGGTACTGGTAACTGAGACATTGGAAATGTGATAGATTGAAGATATCAAAACCAATACAGTTTGAGCATCACTAGTCTGAAAATCTGGAATCTGAAGGGCTTCAAAAGTAAAAGTTTATTTTAGTCAGTATGATATCACTAATGCAAAATTCTACCCCTAACTTCATGTGATGAGTTGTAGTGAAAATGCAGGCCTGCTAAGAATACTGTATGAAAGTACCTTCCGACTATGTGTATAAAGTGTGTATGAAACATGAATGAATTTTGAATTTAAACTTAGATGCCATCCCCAAGATTTTTTTTTCAAATATTTCAAAATCTAAAAAGTCTGAAAGCCAAAATACTCTGTTCCAAAGCATTTTGGAGGTGGGATTCTCAACCTGTATATGTTTTATAGCCAAGATTTTAATAGTTAGGAGTAATTATTCAGGAAGAGGCCCTTCTGTGTTTCTCTCAGCCGGGTTTATGGTGTGACCCTCTGGGCACATTGTGATATTGGATGTTTCCTGGAGCAAGGGAGCATCTCCATTTTTTAAGATTCTCCCTGTGTCTAAATCAGTAGACTCAAAGTGTCCCAGATTTTCATTTTCTTTTTTATTCAAAAAAATTATAAGAATGACAGATACTTATTTACTGTGCAAATGGAGAGAAGAAACAGGAAAATAACTGAAAAGACTTTAAACAGTGTTACCTAGCTCTGATAATGCCCATGATTGGTAAAGTCATGATGGTGTGGATGCAAGTGTGATGGCTGCTTACACCAGAACAAAAAAAGGGAAGAAAACCTTATAAAAGAGTAAACTAAATTAGTAAGTTACTACTGTGACCTCAGTTTATGGCCTCAGAAATAAAAAAGCCCTTAGCATTTACATTTTTATTTTATTGTTTCTAACTTAACTACTTTGAAGGGTTTAGGTCTCATTGAAACCTGTTGATACAAGTTGAGAAATTTTTTCTTCCCTCAGTCAAATGTGCATTTTTATTTTGTTGTGGTATTGATCTTCCTTGTGGGCCCAGATGTGTAAATAGGATTGAAAAATTCTCATATTTTTGGACAAATGAGATTTTAAAAGTTATACATTGTGTTTTGTACAAGCATAATTATAGCACTTACATTTACAAACTGGTGAATGTCTCGGTACTAATATTTAGGTAACTTTCTTGTTGACTAATATTAGTTCCTAAATATTTATTAATCAGCTTTGTGTTACTATAATGAAATACCTGAAATAGGCTTCTGAAAAAAAGAAAGTTTATTTTAGCTCACAGTTTTGGAGTCCAACATTGGGCCCATCACTTTGTTTCTTTGGAGGGTAGCACACCATAGCAGGAACATATGTAAGAGCAAACTGCCCATATCACAAAACAGGAAGCAGAGAGAGAAGAGTAAACTTGGGTCCAAGGCCCTCCCTTGTCACCTAAGGACCTAATATCCTTCCATTGAATAACAATTCTAAAGGTCGACACTTAAGGGTCTACTGCACCTTCCAGTGCTGCCACCTTGGGGACCAGCCCTTTCGATATGGACCTTTGGGGGACGTTGATCCAAACCCTTTGCAAATATTGTTCCAATTAAAAACCTTTAATTCCTACCCCGCACCACCTTTGCTTCAGATTTATAGGCCTTCAGTTTAACCTAGGCCTGTGGTAAGATGTGGTAAGGCAGGGTCTAGCATGGTTGGACTATAAGGAAAAAGAATCCTCCTTTGCTTTGTTGCATTTTTCCCCTAAGATAGGTGACTCAATAGTAGCTGGGTATAAAATTCCTGAGAAAAATCAGTATGGGTTGGCTTTTCCTGTAGGAGGTTGGGTCAGTGACTCTTCAGGGTGATTGCTATCTATTTAGAATATCAATCCCTGAGGTCCATCCCTAGGGAGGTATGTCGTATGTTTGTTTAATCTTTTGTCTTGAGATCTGGCCTGCAGCAAATACCACCTCTCCATTCACAAGGTATCTTGTCTTCCATACTGGTTCCTTCGAGGGCCTGGCCCTGTCTGATTACCTATAAGATTTCTATCTAACTCAGCTGTCTACAACATTATAAAGAAAAAAATGGCCTTAAAATTCTGTATAAATAGCTCACTGGGATATAGTTTAGTGGCACAAGCACTTACCTGGCAAGTGTAAGGTTCTGAGTTCTATTCCCGGTACCAAAAAAAAAAGAATCTGTATAAATAGCTTGTAAAGGACATTTTGAACCCATTCAATTAAGAAATTTTTAGAAAATTGAATGGTTGAGCACAAGTTTAAATATCATGTGGTTTCTCTTATAAGAAACACAAAATATAAATGTACAATAAAATACAAGATAATAGGAAATAGAGAGATGTATCTTCAGTATAGGGGAGAGGGACCAAGAGATGGAGGGAAGGGGATGTTAATAGAGCTTAGAAGTTTTTCTCTAACCTTTTCTATATATGGTTTTTTGTTGTTGAGACAGGGTTACTATGTAGCTCAGGCTGATATCAAACTCTGCAGTCCTCTTGCCTCAGGCTCCTGGGTACTGAAATTAGAGGCATGTGCCACTAACCTGGTTTATAATGAAAGGGAAATTAAAGTTTTAAATGAAAGTCTGCCAATAAAACGCGTCCTGAATGCCCACCAAAACCTAGCAGGCAGGTCTGCACAAGCCTGATAACAGAACATTCCTTCCTTTGTATAACCCCTGTTTTTACTGCTTCTGTGGGTGTAACTGATGGCTTTGCAATGTAACTTGAGGTATCTTTATTGCCTTTGTATAACTGATGGCCTTGCAGTGTAACTTGATATGTTTAAACTCCTTCAGCAACCTATGATGTCACCCAACCCTCCAATCATAATGCACCAAATCTGCCTTTGTACCGCCCTTCTTGCTTTCCCGTAAAAGCCCTGAAACCCTGCATGTAGGGACTCTTGAGTCTTTGGGAGTGATCTAGTCAGAAGCTCACAGGTATAATAAACTGCCTCCTAAACCTCCTCAGTGCTATTTCTTCCTGTGTTTGGTCAGTTTTCTGTAATAATATATATTTACTTCTTGAATCCTGTGCAGATATAAATTGTAAATTGCTGGGTATTTTTCTTAGTTAGCCAAAACTATGAATTTTCTAGATCTCTTAGGTCTTTTGTCTTTTCTCATTGCTGAGACAAAATACCCAACACCCAGAGTTAGAGGAGGAAAGGTTTATTCAGCTTGCAGTTCATTGAGGTCAAGTTGGCTCCAAGTCAGGTTGGCATGGCAGAGGATAACGAGTTCAGGCAGAAGGCAGCAAGCAAGCAACAAGGAGCAGTACTTTCAGTCCCTTATATTCCATCCATGCTACCTGGCCTTTGGGCAGGTAGTACTCACACCCAGGGTGGGGCAGCCTTAATCCTACCCAGAACTATGCCAAACCAATTGGTGGACTAATTTAGTAATCACACATCCTTGATCCCGACATAACACAGCTATAGATCCAGCCATCTCTGAAAAGTCCCACCTATGGCCACATGAGGCTTTGAGGGGACATCTAGACACAAGCCATAAAAGTTTTTATGCTTAGTAAGTCAAAAAAGAACATACCGAATTATACCAAATTTTCTTCAGTTTGTTCTTGAAAATGAGTTTCTTGAAAATGAGTTCAAGAAAAGTTAAAGATTATAAAGCTGACATTAATATGTAGAATTGGCTATAGTTCTTTACTGGGAGAACAGTTGATGCATAAGTGATTTTATGTTGCAGCAAATTCTTATTTATGTGACACTGCGACTTAAGTTGTATAATTTCTAATTTAATGTTTTTCTAAGTGCTTTTTTTTTTTTTTTTTTTTGGTTTTTCTCCTGTACCGGGAACCGAACTCACGACCTTGCGCTTGCCAGGCAGGCGCTTTTGCCGCTGAGCTAAATCCCCAGCCCCTTTTCTAAGTGCTTTGAAACGCTAAAAAGTAGTTACTATTGTATTAAAACAATAGTTACATTTTATGTTAAAGAGTAAGGACTGTAAGGACTGTAAGCTACCATATTGTGTCAATTAAATATTTTCTTCTTGATTTGTCATCATGTTTGTCAAATCTTCTCAATTTTTAAATCTTTTACAGTATGCAACCTGGAGAACATTTATTTGTTCGTTTTATTTGTTTGTTTTTTACGGTGCTGAGGAACAAACCCAGGGCCTTGTGCATGCTAGGCAAGAACTGTACCAGTGAGCCAGATTCCCCAGCCACTGGAGAACATAATTTAACCAAACGTTATTTTGAATTTGTATTATTGGTTGGTTTGATTTAGTACGTTCGTGATTTAATGTCTTCTCAAGTGTTGTACCTTTACTTTGAGACTTTATTAAAGAACATTTGTGATCTTTGTAAAGATTACTTCCAAACCAGGTGCAGACCTGTAATCCTAGCTAATTGGGAGGCAGGAAGATCGAGGTCAAGGTCACCTTGGGAAGTTTAAAGGTCACCTTGGGAAGTTTAGTGACACCCTAAAATAGCTGGGGACATAGCTCAGTGCCTGGCACATGAGCCTCTGACTTGTTCTTTACAAAATGGAACTTCAGAGGTTTTTTTAGCTGCTGTGCTTCATTCTTGTAACTTCCAACAACTGTTAAGGTTTAAAGTGTGGTATAGTTTAGTTCTTTTTTGCTGTGTTCTTATTCAGTAATTCTCACCCACTTCTTATAGCAGTGGTTCCCACCCACTTTTCACAGCAGTGTACAGTGTATAGCAGTACACAGTTATTTCTTGGTCTAGAATAGTGTTCTCACATACATCATATTATCCATTATTTGATATTTTAATTTCTCATTAAATCGATTATATGATGAGATTAGCTTTCTGTTACAGTTTTAGGTTTTACTTTTTTTTTTTTTTGAAATAGGCCTTGCCGTGTAGTTTAGGCTGTCCTTGAACTTGCAGTGATCCTACTGCCTCAGCCTTCTGAGAGCCATAATTACAGGCATTTGCCATCACACCTGGCTATAAATATTTTTATCATTTGTCTTTCTTTTCTTGTTAGTAAAATAATTACTTCTAGCACCTTTGACTTTTATGTCAATGTGGAATGGATTAGAGAAACACCTTGAATTTTTCTAGTTCCACAGCTTGTCCTATTTTGGAAAAAGGTCATTTTATCAAGCTTGAAGAGCCCTTTGTTGTTGTTTAACTGGAAAATAAATACCCTTGCTTTTCTTTGACTTTTGAAGAAAAAGAAAATACTAGCGCTAATTTTTCTCCCATGCCGATTTTTGAGGATACACTTCTACTGTAACTTAAGCTGTATAAAGCATACAGCATATGCTGAGCCTGGCATGGTGGCACATGCCTGTAATCCCAGCACTGAAGAGACTGAGGCAGGAAGATTGCTTTGAAGCCTGCGTGGCATATAGCAAGACCTTGTGTCAACAAAACAAAACAAAACATTGTTTCTTTTACCAGTAAAAATTTCATCTGGTTTCTACATTACTGTTTTCTCTGACACATCTTTTTCAGTTAACCTGTTGTTCAGTAACAATTTTTCCTTAAAGGATGGGGTTACTAAATTTTGAAACAATTTTTATAAATAAGTTGTTAAGCATTTTGCAGTTTTTTCTGAGTCTGAATGTAGTGTGAAAAGTGGTACAGTTGAATAGATTCATTTTTGTTTGCTCTGTGAAAGGGATACAGATTTCAAAGCTGTTATAAATTTACTAATAAGGCATGTTTTATAAGATACTTTATTTTTGTGTACATGTCATTCTTCCTGTCCTCAGTTCTCCCCAAGGAATACTCAGTGTTACCTGCAGCTTTATCTATTTTTAAGTTATGGCTGAGTTATTTAAACTAAAGAATTTTACAGTCTTGCTTCTTTTTTTGTTAAAGTAGTACAAAATGTCAAAAATTAGGAGGAAAGTCACAGTGGAAAATACCAAGACTATATCTGATAGCACATCTCGAAGACCCAGTGTATTTGAAAGACTTGGACCCAGCACTGGCAGTACAACAGAGGTGAGTTGTCACTCGTGGGTCACACATTTCTCTTAAAATCTTGTTACTGAAAACAGTGATCTACATAATAAAGGTGAACAAGTTATTTCACTTGAGAATGTTGGTTTAGTAAATTTTGTTAAATACATTTTATAAAAGTGTAAAAAAGGTGATAGGGTTTATAGGTATTTTGTATTTTTTTCTGATGTTTTTTATCCTTGAGAAGTAATATATCACAGGTTAGCGGGAGCTTTGCTAGCATTTTACTTAATTTTGTCCCACTAGCGTGTCTTTTTTTCCAGAAATAAAGTCAAATTTACACAGTAACATCTGTCTCTTAGACACAGTGCCGTAACTGGCTGAAGACTGGCAACTGCCTCTATGGAAACACATGCAGATTTGTACATGGCCCTTCACCTCGTGGAAAAGGTTACAGCAGCAATTATAGAAGGTAAAGTGAGATCTTTAAACTGCTCACATACTATTAGAAGATGGCTTTCATAGTTTATGCAGTATGGCTATCTGAAGTACAACAAGATTTTCTTTTGATAGCAGTCTTACATATAGTCAAAGATCCACAAGACCTTTAGGTTGTTATTTTGAAGATTACAGGTTACTAAAATGTTAGCTTTAAAATTAATGTGTATGTTTGGTATTTACATGTCTTGGCAATGTATCTTTTTGTAATACGTTTATGGCTTACTTTTTCCCTCTAATTGTGTATTAAGACAGCAAAAATCAATGGTATTAGAATTTATTTTTAGTGAGGTTAGACTATTGTTAACCCTTAAAATACTAAAATATTTGAGTAAGGTATCATTTAGTGCTTTTAATATGCTATAAATTCAAATTTTATACAAGCCTGGTTGGCATAAATGCATTTGCCAAATTCTTTATGACTTTGTGTTACTGTAAATAATATATATTATGTGTGGATAGACATACTTCCTATTTGGAACATGATTTTACTTGGTTAAATGGAACTTGCTTAATAGTGACCTTTTTATTTTTCTTTTGATTTCCTTGTAATGATTTTATAATGGTCTTTAAAGCATGTCACAAAAACAATTTAAATTTACTAGTAGACAAATAATTTACCTAGTTCTAAAGTTGGTTATGCTAATCACTTAGCCTACAGCAACAGTATAAGAACTGAACATTAGCACATGGAAATTTTTCTTTAAGTGAATTTGTGTATAGACCTCAAAGTTTATTAGAATTTAAAATTCAGATCCTTAATATTAGCTGACTTCTTGTTCTTTTTTTTTTTAAAGGAAAGAAAGGTTTATTTAGCTCACATTTTGTGGAGGTTTCAGTCCATGTTTGGCTGGCTCCAAGGCAGAGTGGCATATGGCAGAGGGCAACAGTTCATGGTGGTGGAAAACAGCAAAGGCAGCAAGAGCAAAAAGGGAGGGGCAGCTTTTTTTTTCTTTTTTGGTACTAGGAATAGAACTCAGGACCTTGTGCTTGCACAGGTAGGCACTATGCCACTGAGCTCTATCCCCAGCCCTTGTTTCCTTAAAGAATATACATTTGCATTTTTTTGTGATGCTGAATACTCTTACTTGTATTTAGGGTATCATTTGTTATCTTATTATTTATGTCTAATTACTTGTAAGTACACTCATAAATACATTTAGAGAAATTATTTCAGTAATTTTAACTTTTGTTTATATGAATGCCACATTTTAATATATGCTTTAATTCATCTGAAAATATTTGCTGACTCAAAATTTTGTATAAGAGATAGTTTTGAGGAAAATGGGCAGAGAACTTTTGTCTCAAATGGATAAAATTAATGTTATTACTAGACTCAGTATAAAGAGTTGGCTGTTATGATTGTGCTGTTTTGTATGTGTATTTCCATTTGATAAAATATTTGGTATAGGGAGAAAACCTGTAAGTAATGCTCATAGTTTTACATATTCATATTTAAGTTGAAAAGAGTTTTGAGAAATTTAGGAACTAAGCACAGTTAGAAAAGTTAAAATTTATGAGGTTTTTCTATAAGTATATTCTTATAAGATGTTATATAGAGATTTTTGTTTTGATTTATTTTTTAATTTTTGTTGCATTTTGCTTCAAAGGTCACCAGAAAGACCTACAGGGGATCTCAGAGAACGAATGAAGAACAAGCGCCAAGATGTGGATGGTGAGCCCCAGAAGCGAAATACAGAGGAATCATCTTCACCTGTTAGGGTACAGAATGAATTTCCTAAAACTTAGTTAAATTTCAGTAGTGATTGATTCTTTAAATTGAATTTTAGATATGTTATATGCTGAGTGGTAAATACACACTTAGGCACGATAGTATCCTAAGATGAAGGGACTAATAGGCAGTGCTGAAGCTGAATAGTGGGGATCATGAGTATCTGAATATATTTTTAAGTTTTCAGAATTCAGCCATTCATCATACTTTGTCTCTAAGAAAGACTAAAGTGACAGAGGAACACTTAAGCACTAAAACAGTGAAAGCAAAGCATGGGATTCAGTAATTGAATTAGAAAACTTAGGTAAAGAAATAGACATAGAAGCACAAAATTTAGCGGTGAATTTGTTGACAGTGAAACAAGAAGAGGTACACTATTTATGATGCATTGAATAAATAGTGCATTGAATAAATGAAAAGATAAATGTTAGGAATGGAAATTGTTCCTAGACGTATTTTTTTTCAAGAAATTTATCATACTTAGGTGGTGTGTTTGTAGCAGATTTATTGAGATAGTTCACATACCATACAGTTTATTCATTTAAATTGGGCACACCAGTTTTCTTTAGGGTATTCACAGTCACACAGTTGTCAACACAATCACTGTACATTACTCCATAAAGGAGCGCCACCCTTTTGGTAGTCGTCATTCTGTTTCCCCACTGACCACCAGACCCAAGCAACTACTAAATCCCCTTTCTGTTTCTTAGATTTGCCTTTTCTAGACATTTCACATAAATGGAATAATGTAATGTGTGATCTTTTGTGACGAGATCCTTTACTCAGCATATTTTCAGGGTTCATGAAAGATCATAAAGTGGTCACTATTTCATTCTTTGCGTTTGCTAAATAATATGACATTGTATGGGTAGACCATATTTTGTTTGTTTATTCTTCAATTGGTGAATATTTAGGCTTTTTGCCTCTTAGTATATAATGCAGCTATGTTTGTGTGGACATACACTGTCATTTCTCTTGGGTTGTATTGAATGGAATTGCTGAATCATGTAGTAACTGTATATTTAACCTTTTGAGGACCCACTAGACTTTTATTAAGGGGCTGTGCCATTTTACATTCTTGATAGCAGAGTATAAGGCTTTGAGTTTCTCCACATTCGTACACATTATTAACTTTTTGATTATAGCCATCTTAGGGGCATGAAGTGATAATATACAGTAACTGTAATTTGATTTGCATTTCCCAGATAGCTGATTCTATAGACCCTCTTTTCATCTGCTAATGGATATTTGTCCATCTTTGGGAATCTTTTACCCATTTTAAATACTGTATTTGATTGTCTTTATTACTGAGTTTTAAGAGTTCTTTAAATTTTTTTTTGTACAGGGAATCAAACTAAATTTTCTGCTTCTATGTCTGTTTCTTTACTTAAGTTTTCTAGGACCTCCCTCTTGCCAGGCAAGTGCTGTGCCACTGAGCTATATCCCTGGCCCTGAGTTCTTTAAATTTTATGTAGAAGCCCCTTACCATTTACATGACTTGAACATACTTTCTCCTATTCAGTATTTTCATATTCTTTCTCCCCCTTTTCCCCCTCTACTGTCTTGTCCTTTCTTTTCCAAGGAGAGGCTTTGTTTTGTTACCCAGCCTGGCGCTGAAATCCAGGGCACAAGTGATCCTCCTGCCTCAGCCTCCTGTAGTTGGGATTGTATACACTTACCATCAAACCCAGCTGTCTTCACATTCTTGATCCCTAAAACACATGTTTTCATTTGATGAAATCCAACTTAGCTTTAGTTTTGTTTTTGCTTGTACTGTTGGTATCATTTTAAAAACCATTTTCTAATCCAAAATCACAAACGTTTATGTTTGTTTTCTTAAAAATTTTTGTAGTTCTTACTGTTTAAGTCAGACACATTTTGAGTTGATTTTCATTTATGGCAAAGGTCTAACTTCATTACTTTCAGATTACCAGTTGTCCCATTCTAGTTTTTCAGTGAAAGTCTGAATGGTGTAGGTAGTAGTGTTTTTGTAACTTAAGATACGGTAAAAACTTTCTTCTGTTTTGGGGTGTTTTGTTTTCGTGGTGCTAGGGTTTGAACCCAAGTCCTTGTACACACAAAGCACCTGCTTTGTGATATATTGGGAATGGGACTGCTATCTAAACATGAAATTTTTTTATGTTTCATTTAAGGTACATGAAACTGAAAGGTAATTTTGCACAGTATTTTTTTGTGCACCTTTGTTTTCACTGAGACCTGTTGTACAAGGTCAGGTGTGGAATTTCCCACATGTGGTATCATGTTGGTGCTCAAATGTTCAGATTTTGAAGCATTTTAGATTTCAGATTTTTGTGCTAGTGGTGTTCAACCTGTAGCAACCTTTTGTTTATGATATCAACTATAGGTAATTTCCTTTGTCTTATCTTTTTCTAATAGATTATTTTTTAGAACAGTTTTAGGTTCTTAGCAAAATTGAATTGAAGGTACAGAGCTCGCCTGTGTGCCCTCTCCCTGCACATGCACAACCTCTTTCAATTATTAATCTCATCCCAGAGTGGTGAATTTGTTGTGACAAGTGAGCCTTTATTGACAAATCATTATTGTCCAAAGTCTGTAGTAGAATTTTTGCTATTCAGTTTGTTTATGCATTTGCTTACTAAAGGACATGTTGATTACTTTCAAGTTTTGACAGTTATGAACAAGGCTGCTATAGATATTTTATGTGCAGGGTTTCTTTGTGGACATAATTTTCAGTTCTTCTGGCTAAATACCAAGAGTATTGTTCCTGGATTGCATGAGGAGAGTATTTTTAGTTTTGTAAAAATCTGACAGACTTTTCCAAATTGGCTGTGTCATTTTTCGTCTTTTTTTTTTGAGACAGGGTTTCACTCTGCAGTTCAGGCTGGCTTTGAGCTCACTTTGTATCCCAGGCTGGTCTTAAACTCGCAAAGGTCCTCATGTCTCAGCCTCCCAAGTGCTGGGATTACAGGCGTGTGCCACCACTCCCAGTGGCTGTGTGATTTTTCATCCCTACCATCAATGAATGTGTTCTTGTTACTCCACAGCTAACTTGCATTTGGTGTTGTGAGTGTGTTGAGTTTAGGTTGTTTAGATAGGTGGTATCTCTTATTGTTTTGTGTGTTATTTCCTTAGTAACATAATGTGATGAACATCTTTTCATGTTTATCATCTGTATATCTTTTTTGGCAAGGTATGTAATTAGGTCTTTGACACGTTGGTCATTTAGAGTTAATTTTTGTGAAATGTGTAATGTCTGTGCCCAGCTTCTTTTTTTTTATTGTTCAGGTGTTCAGTGTTCTAGCACCACTTGTAGAAAGACTGTTCTTTCTCCATTTAAATTGTCTTTGTTCTTTTGTCAAAAATCAGTTGACTATATCCATATGGGTTTATTTTAGCTTTCTATGCTATTTCTCTGATATATTTGTCACTTCTGCTGCTACTAGGTTGTCTCGATTACTGTAGCATAGGAAGTCATGAAATAGGGTCAGTTTTCTGACTTTGATCTTCTTTAGTGTTATATTGTCTATTCTGAGTCTCCTTATAAACCTTAAAATCATTTGGTCATCTGCAGAGTAGCATTCAGGGGTTGAAGTAAAGATAGCATTTAATCTGTCAAATAGTTTGGGCCGAACTTACATCCTACCATATAGAGTCTCTCATCTCTGCCAAGATCAGGTTAATTTTGGATATCATGTATTGAAGCATGTTGGTAAATTAATGCATAGAAGATGGGAAAATAATTGGAGTATGTGAAAAACATGAAATGCAAATGCATGTTAAGCATTGTATGCTAAACATACTGGGTACTTTTGATATGGGCTTTTTTTTCCTTCCCACAAGTTCAGAGGTCAATAGAAATTGTAGAGTGGTATAAGTAAGGATTGTTTAATAAGTAAAACTCTCAAGAAATGGAAGCAAAGGAGTTTGATAGTAGAGAGCCATCAGTAGAGACCATGGGAGATAAATTTTTCCTGCCAAATTCTTTCAGTAGAAGGTTTCTATATCTATATAAATTTAAAAGAAAAGTTTTCTGCATAAGATAGGAGGTTGGATTATTTCTTTAAAAAGCTCCTAACATTTTATTGTTTTGTTATAATACTGATTCTCAACTCGTGTCATCCTCTATATTTCCTTTTTACATCAGATTCTTTTAATGCCTCCTTACTATTTAAAATGAAATTCATAGTGAACATAATCTGCACGCACATATAATGTTCATGCTATATGAATGTAAAATAAAGTAAAAGCCCTAACCCTAGCCCTAAGTAAGTTATATGTCCATAATCAGTTGAACATGATGTTGTATTCCTGTAATGCTAGCCCTCTACAATCATTGATTATATTTCTGAAATCCAAGAAACCTAAGACCAAACATTATCTCTGAGTTAACTGTAGACTTATTTGGCAGCAAATCTTGATCTTGAACTGATCTGATTATATTCTTTACCAAGTTGGTAAATTCCTATTTTGCTACAAAAATATTTATATGTTTGATCACAGGTGGCTGCTAATGCAGACCTTACTGTCAGTAGTACTCATTGAATTTTGAAATTGAAAAAAAAATTCTGAAATATTTGGTCCCATGAGGTATGGCTAAAATATTGTGGTTTTTCAACACATATTTCAATATGCATACACAGTATAATAGAAAAGTAAGGTGAATGTTTAAATTTTAAAAATGCATCACAGTAAAAGACACATTTCCTTAACTCCTTAGAATCCCCCATCCCTTTATCACATGTACACCATCTTTCTTGCCGGTTTTTGTAGCAGTTCTGGAAGTCTTTTATAAGTGTCTTAATAGCGCTGTTGTGGGTGCTTCATTGTCCTGAATTTACTGAAAATGTTTACTTTTCATGATCATTTTGACTTTGTAAAGCAGCCAGAAGTTGCATGGTTCCCCATCCAGTAAGTAATGAGGACACATTGTAGCGTTTTTATGAGTTTGCCTTTTCATTGGATGGCACTCAACAGTAACATTCATTGTATTTTTGAGCACACTAAAGACACTTGTGAAAGTGGACTTATGCAGGTGCTTCAGAAAGTGGTAACTGTTCAAAGTGTGGGGATTACTTTCAGGAGGATTAAAGGCAGTCTGTCTTTTACTATAAGTTTTTTACTGAAGCACACACGTATGTTTTGATCATCCCTGTATGTTCCAAGATGACTGTGGTTTATATCTAAATGTCCCTCAGGAGCTTCATGCAGTCATAGGTAGGGTTTCTGGAAGAAGATTGGGTTTGGGGGTGCTATAGCTGACTTGCTGTGAGGAGGTAGGGTCTGTAGGAAGAAGTGGGTCACTGGGAGCGCGGCCTGGAAGGGAATGGCTCCCATCCTCGCTCTTCCCTTGGCTCTCTGCTTCCTGCCCGCCCTGTTAGCAGCTTTCCTATATCTAGTCCCCTCCCCCATGTCTTCCTGCCTTGGAACCAGCCTGCTGTGTGCTAAAGTTTGGGCCAGGATGAGCCTCTCCTTTAAGTTGTGGTGTTGAGTGTTTTGTCCCAGTGATGAGGAATGTGACTAAAATAAGAATACGTAATGGAATAGTCAGAAGGTTATGTTTCTAATTCATATGTTTGAATTTAAGAGAAATAAGATGAAAAACGATTCTGTTCAAGAAATACAGGACGGTGCTGTACCATATGTGACAGGAAATGCTGGACCCTATTATTTGACTATGGAGAAAAGTGAAGTAATTGTATTTCATAAATGAATACCATGCCTGAATAAGTAACAGAGTGTTGTAGAGAAAATGAAGAGATACATTCTTTTAAACAAGGTAGACCTTCCTAATATGATATCAAAATAATTTTCTATATTATGATTTGAAGTGGAATAGTGGCAGAGTATTAGAAAAACAATGTGGGTTTGGTATTGCAGATTATTTTGTCTCTTTTGTAGCATAGAACTAATGCTCTGAAATCTTTTTCAGTTAAACTTGTAGTTGGGTATTATATGATACTTTAGACAGAAAACACAATATTTTATTCAAATATTTGGAGATAACTTCCTATAAAATATTTGTGGTATGGGTATATACTAAAGTATATTCAAAAATTGTATGAGATATATAATAGCTCTTCATTAATGTATTACAGACTATATTTTATGATTAAAAATAGATTGTGTTCCTCTTTTTCCTTTTGTCTTCTGTATAAATAAAAGCCTGTTTCTTTTTCCTTGACCTGTTGCAATTTTTCCATAGCAAGTATTATTCTCCTAGTCTTTCAGTGATTTTTGTTACCATTTGTTGTCTTACCAGCAACCATGTATGTCATTTTGCAATTATTATTTGCAACAGTTTTTTATCTAAAGATGGAAAATTTAGAAGCAGCTATATATCAGAGTTCTTTAAATAGAAAAGTTAGAGAAATCAGTTTGTGTATGAGTTGGTAATGCTCAGAAGAAAGTTTCAGTACTTACTATCATTTTTCATTTCTTTTCATAGTATTTAAATTGTGAATAAAAGTGAGAATTTCACTGTGATGCAAAGATAACAGTTATGTGACACTGGTTATTTTCTCACCACCTAGTGAAATGTGGTTTCAAATCTTATGTAATAGGATATTCAAATGAATTTTGTAAGTTGGGTTATTGTTGTCCTGTTTAGTGTATAGGCTGTGGCTTGCCTTTGAACGATATGTAAATCTTATTTGTTTACTACATTATTTAGGACTATTTGGTAAAATATCTTTTTTTTGGAAGGCTATAAAAGTATGAAATGAGGTTAAATTTATCCTTAGGCATGTAAGAAAATGGCTGTTATTTTAGTGTGTAAGTCTTACTTAGATAATTATTTTTGAGAGTTTTCTGTGATTTAGATTAATATGGCCACTTACAAATCTTTCCATTGTATTTTAGTCTGTGTGTGTGTGTGTGTGTGTGTGTGTGTGTGTGTGTTGGTTTTCTTTTCTTCTCTTTTCTTTTTTTTTTTTTTTTGACAGTCTTGCTATGTAGTTCAGGCTAACCTTGAACTCATGAGGATTCTCTTGCCTCAACCTCCTGAGTGCAGGGTTTATAGACATACACCACCATGCCCAGTGTATTTTATCCATTTTAAACTGTCTTTTTAGGGGCTGGGGATTTAGCTCAGTGGCACAGCGCCTGCCTGGCAAGCTCAAGGTCATGAGTTCAATTCCTGGTACCGGAAAAAACAAAAAAAAAAATAAACTGTCTTTTCCCCAAGGTTTTTTACATAGAAACTGGATACATTGGATAATATCAGATACCTATTACGGTATTAGACTTGCATTCTGTTTTTTAAATCTTAGCCACATCTGCCATTTACCGTATTGCTGTTCCTTACATTCTATAATTTTTCATTGTGGTGTTATGCTAGAATTTGTCATTTTCCCTGCTTATAGATAAATGACTATTTACAAAATTCCTTCTTTGAAACAAAGATGAATGAAATCAAAATGTTATATATTATAATAACCTGCCACCTTATATAATTTTTAAAACACTTATTCCATGTGTATATATGTACTTCTTAGAAAGAATCTTCAAGGGGGAGACACAGGGAAAAGGAAGATATTAAAATCACCAAGGAGAGAACTCCGGAAAGTGAAGAAGAAAATGTAGAATGGGAAACGAATAGAGATGGTGAGTTTCAAGATCGTTGCTTATCTGATCAGTTCTTGATGATTCCCTCTCTAGACTTTAAAGCTGTGATCTTTCTGTTGTTGCAGAACTATCTATTGTCCTACTTCTGTGTTGTAATGCAGAAGCTGGCATATAACAGCAATATAAAGGCAGAAAAAGAGGTTTGTGCTGCCTATTTCAGCTTCATGTTGTTTTCTCTCTAGAACTTTGCCATGTGATAGTTCTTTGGGAATGTATTACATTCATAAAATTTGAAATTCTTTAATACTGAGGTTAAAAAAATCAAATCTAAATTTGTGTTACTTTACACAAAATATTTAAAATGAGATTTTTAAGACTTAAGTGCCTGAGATAATTATTTCCAGAAATTGTTGACCTTCGTTTTTCAGGGAAAACCAGTCAGATGATAGTTAAATCCTGGGATGTATTCATGAAAACCAGCAAAATCATTTTTGAGTCATTGTCTTAAAAAATAACCATTTGCTTTCCATATTGTGAGTGTTCTGACTTGACCTCTTTGATGTTCTGGAAGGTGGAATCTAACCTTAAGCCACCAGATACAGAGATAGGAAATTCAACATATGTTAAATGCATTAAATATGCAACTTATACCTTTATTACTCTGCTTACTGATGAGAAAAGTAAGAGTTTTAGAAAGTCAGCAATTGTTTTTCAGTGATAAACTGAAAATTTAAATCAGAGATGAGAAAACTACAGAATATACATTATAACCTGTTTTTTGCAAATAAACTTATTAGAGCATAACAGTGCCCATTTAGTTATATATTATTGAGCTTATGGCCAAATTGAGACCTTGTGACACAGAACCAAGAATTTACATGCCTAAAATACTGATATATTTCAGAATGATCTCTGAAGATGTATGTAGACCAGGATTTGAAAAGTATCCTGATCATCTCTCCAGTAATTGAAACATCAGTACTATTAAGGAAATATGTTCTATCCTTGGGACAGTGGTGTGTTAAAAGTTGTTTCTAAACTTCCTTATGATTAATTCATTGGCATATTATAATCCAATTCAATACCTCTTTTACATAGTTACAGTAAAGGCAGCTATAGTGTTCCTTTGATAATTAGTTGAGTGATTAATTAATATATCACGGTATTTGTTTTCCTCATTTCTGCAAAGGGCATTCCTCCTGTTTTATAGTCAGTAATTCCCTGTACTGTATTCTAAATCTGATTTCCACTACCTTGACAGTGTGTTCAGTTATGTATATTCTCTTCCCTATCTTTTGCATCCATTTTCTCTTCTCCCCATATTAACTTTGGCTATCACCCTCCTTATTGCCACTTACAGGCTAAATTCTTCAGAGTTCTGTATGTTACCCTTTCTGCTTTTTTACCTGGTATTTACTGTAGTCTTCAGATCTGCCTCTCCACAGAAACTGCTCTGCAGTTGCTCTCACAGCTTTTCTCCTTTTCACTGAATAAATGGAGGTGTATTTGTCTTTGTGATATATGACCTTTCTGTAGCATTTGACACAGCTCAGAACTCCTACCTTAGAAAACATTCTTTTTGGCTTCCATGTATGACATTTTAGTTTCCTGTTTTCCTGTTCAAGGCTTTCTGTCTTATATAGAAACTCCTTGTATACTGGGTGATCTCTAAGACTTACATTTGAGTATCTTCTCAAAGGAATCTAAAGTGATTCTATTACAGGAGTCTTTATATAGAAAATTTTCTTAAAAGTGAATGTAAATATCTTTAATAGTTATATATATAAGACATCACATGGTGTTTTCTTTTAAGACTCACTGGTTTTTGTTTTTTTTGTTTGTTTGTTTTTTTGGTACCGGGAATCAAACTTAGGACCTTGCGCTTGCCAAGCAGGCGCTTATGCCACTGAGCTATATCCCCAGCCCAACTCACTGGTTTTAATTTTTGTGCATCTCTGTGATTTAAAAGTTATCTACTGAAGAAATATTGAAGCGTATTAATCATTTCAGTGCATGAATAGTAAGATAAACTGGTTAATAAACTATAAAGTGAGTAGCAGTTTTAGCTAAACTCAGGAACAATTGGTATATAGTAGTGTTTCTTCAGCTTTTCAGTTGTAGGATGTATTTGTATTCTTTAACGACGCCAATGAGCTCTCTTCCTCCTACTATCCTCCCTCCTCCTTCTCCTTAAAAAATTTTTTGTTCTTACTTTTTTCAGTAATGGAGATTGAACCCACGGCCTTTGTACAGAGCTGTATCCTCAGCCCTTCATTTTTTATTTTGAGACAGTGTCTTGTTAAATTGCCCAGGCTAGGTTCTAACTTGATTTCTTCTTGCCTTAGCCTGCCAGACTTCAGTGCATGCCACTATACCCAGCTAAGCTTTTCTCTTTGTGGAGTATGTTTTTCGATAATTATCAAGTTAGAGATTGAATTTTGAAATCTGAAAGCTATTTTTTAAGTCATCTTACAGTGACAATAATAAACGCATTGTATATTTTTATGAAAAGTAACTGCTTTACATGGCAAAAAAAAATTTAAGAAGTGGCAATGCTTTAAATGTTTTTGGAAGTCATTTTAATATGTGATATAATAGAAACATAGCTAGATTTTTACATTTGCTTCTAATTCAGTCTCTTAAAGGTATATCTTCTGGAAAATGCAGTCATACATGCAGGAGAGAATTAGTAAGCCACACAAATATGTAATGTTACTATAAAAATAGTTTTGAACTTTGAGAACTCCCAAAATTACCTAAGAGAGCCCCTAATAATTCTTTCACCACTCTTTGAGAACCATATGTGTTTGGGAATAGCTTCTAAGACTTAGCTATTTACCTTTTGCCTACCACCTTTTTTTACTCTTCATTTTTTCTTCTAGAATAAATTATGATCCCAGTGCTGCATTCACTTACATGTTAATTACCCTGAAATCTGGAACTCTTAGTTGAACTCCAGGTTGAAATAGTTAGAATTCATCAACTGGACATCTCCATCTGAGTTTCATAAGAGTACTGCTTTCTTACCTGGTCCCTAACACTGAGTGTTATCATTGACACTCCTTCATCCCTTCCACGTAGGTATTTTCAGAGCTGTGATATTTCTACCTAGAAAATGCCTTTGAAAACCCTCTATTTCTCTTAGTTTACTACTAGTATTCTAGGTTTTAAAATACATGTTTATTGCTTTTGCATTATTTTACCAAAATAACTTCCTAATTCCATCTGTTGCTTAATGTTGTCCCTTAATCCATTCTCTAAAGCTAGGATAAACTTAAAAATTTTTTTTTTCTTTTACTGAAGTATGTGCAGTACATATAAACAAATCTATAGCAACATCCCCTTTTCATGTCTAGCTTCTTTCATTAGCTGTATTACAATATGGAGTTCATTAATTCTTACTGCAATATAAGAATAGTATTTCATTTTATGAATATACCATAATTTATCCATTCTATTATTGAGGAGCATTTGAGTAATTTTCAAGTTGGGGCTATTATGAATAAGGTGCTATTATTATTCTTCAATATCTCTTAATAAAAATTACCCATTTTTCCTCATTGTATGAATTGCTGAGCTATGGAATATGTGCCTGTCCACTGTTAGTAGATAATGGAAAATCAAAAATAGTGTGCCAGTTAACCATATGATATTTTTTTGCCCTTTTAATTTTAGGCTTTGAGAAGTATATAGAGATATTGTGGTTTCATTTTGCAGTTTTCTAATGAAGTCAAAAGTTTCATATATTTATTGGTGATAGTTTAAGCCATTTTTTTAAATGGCCTGTTCCAGACTTTTGCCTATTCTTCTAGTATGTTACCAGTTTCTTATTGATTTGATTATAGGATTTCTGTATATATCCTAGGCACTCATTTTATGAAATATATGTATTGCAGATATATTCTACTCTGTGAGTTGTAGAATATAAAAAATAAATTAGTTCATTTTGTTCTGTTTATAATTTCCTAATTTTTCATTGCTTTCAGGAATAAGTACACATTTTTATTGTGGCTCTATTCCTACACTCCAACTCTTGGTCTGTTTTATCTTTTTTTTTTTTTTTAAACTTTGTTTTCTTACATTTCTCATATTTGTTCATTACGTGCTGTAACATGTAAAAACAAAAAGTATCATTGCAATGAAAGAAAATGTATGAACATGTTTTGGTAATCTTGGAGGCAGTTCATCTTCCTAAAACCAAGTTTGAAACCCAAAAGCTTCAAAAGACTTGATTATATAAAAATTAGACATTTCTGATAACTAAATATAGAAGTTAAAGATACATAGTAGACTAAAAGAAAGTACTTGTATATGTAAGCATTAGTAAAAATGTTTAAAAGTACATATGCATATAATGAGTTCCCTCATTCATGAGAAGGTAATCTGGTTGAAAAAAGGCTAAAGATGTATGTGTGTGAAACAGAAATGGCCAATAAATGCTGAACCTTACTGCGTAGAAAGGCTGACAGGAAATAAAGATAGGAGTGGAAATATAGCTCAGTGATGGAATGCTTGTCCTGTCATGCACGAAGCCTTGGGTTGGAGACAGGGCTCCATAAAAATAAAGACAGAATTTTTCACCAGTGTTTCATCAATTTGGCAGAAATGAAAAATTACTTATGTTTTCAGGTGGAAGTTTATATTGGTAAAGGTGTTTTGGAGTGCAGTTTGGTCATAGTTAAAATAGAAATTATACTTATCTTTGATTCAACAAATGTAGTTTGAGAAAATTGCCAAAAATACTGGTACTTGTGAACTATGGTAGGTATCAAAGTGTTCATTAAAGTCTTGTTTCTAGGCGCAAAATGTTGAAACAAACCACATGTCTTCTCAAAATAAAGGAACTGCTCAAATAAGTTAATAGTATATTCATACTGTGAAATAGTTTGTAGATGTTAAGGTGAAGATGATTGAGCTGTCTGTGTGACATGGAAAGATCTTGTTCATAGGACATTGTAATTCTGGTTCCTTGTTTCAGTGAAAAAGCTATAAAGATTTTTAATATATGCAATATTGTACTGCTAGTAGTATTAGCACTGCAGTGAGGATGGCAATTGGAGGAGTATAAGGAATTTCATATTTTACTTTGTACTCAGAATTGTTTAAAACTTTAATGGTGAGAATACATTACAAATAAAAACAAAAGGAGGTGTTCAAATATTTACAGTATGTAATCCTTATACATACTTTTCATGTCCTTTGCCCACTGTCAGTTAGTAATTACTAATTGTCAGTAATTTATTCATATGTCCACCATTCCTTATTTGTTGCGTATATTTTTCTGTTATATGCTTTTAAAATCAGTCTTATTAAATATACCATTAGTTACGCTTCATGGTTTCCTATTGAGTTAGAATCATTTTTCTGAATCAATATTCATAAGGTAATTTTAGAAATAACTTCAGGCTGTAATGGTGCCCTACCACTGAAACACATCCCCAGTCCTTTTTATTTTTTTTTTTTTTAGTTTGAGACTGTTTCTCACTAAGTTGTCCTAGCAAGAGTCATACTTGAGATCTTCCTGCCTCAGTCTACTTAGTGATCAGATTATAAACATGTGCCACCATTCCCAGCTCTGTTTCTTCTTTCATAGAATAGGAAAATATCTGAGTTTTGATTAAAACAGGTATGCATAAAATAAGTACTTTCTGAGTAAGGGTTCAGGAGCTTTTCCCCACAGCAAAATATGTTGCCTATAGTACATTGACTTTGACATGTAATTTATCTGCTCAGGCTTCTCTTATGATTGAGTAGTTGGCAATTGAGACTGAAAGCCACCTTCTCGTTTCTTATGTGTGTTCTGTATTGATGATATTTCCTGGTAACACTTTTTAGATTCCTAAGTCATTATTGATGAAACTTTCAAAATTATTCTTTCTTTTGTTTTATTTAGGTATTTGGTGATAGAATTTTGTTTAAGAATAATCAAGCCAGGTCATTGAGTCATTTTATTCATTGAAGTAAAGAGTCTCAATGGAGTATGATGTAGTAACTGGAGACAGCTAATCATTTAATTAAATCACCTAGTAAAAACGATATGCCCTTAAATATTTAGTAATTGTTTCCTGATTAAGAAACATGAGTCAGTCTTTTTTTTATAATTTACGGAGATATTGTCCAGCATAAGATGAGTAATCAAGTTTGATCACACAGATAATATATAGCTACTTTCTCAGTCCCCAAGTGTGAATGGATGGCTGCATTCTACCTCATTTGAGGTATACTTGATGATGATGATGTCTATGTGCTTGTTCTTTAACCAATTAAATGGGACTGTTCATCTTCATTGTTTTTTAGTTTCTTCATTTTCTTTACCTCAGGTTAAGAAATACATAAAGTACTGAAAGTGTAGCTTGACAAGGCACCTCAGTTTGGGATCAGTCAAGCCCAACATGGTCATTGGTTAGAATAGATGTCATTGTCAGTTCTTCCTCCAGGCCTTTTGGCATTTATGTCACATGTAGGTGAGGGGTTGAGTGCCAGTAGCCATGGAAAACTGATCATAACAAAATAGATCTTCATACTGCCCTTCTTTCTCCTCTTTCCCTTTTTCTGTCAATCTTCTTTTCATTTTAATTTAAAAAAATTGGATATGGTAAGATGGCATTAGATCCATTAAGATGGATAATTCATTTTTTTCTTTTTTCTTTCTTTTATTTGAGACAGGGTCTCACTGTGTAGTTCAGGCTGGCCATGAAGTCACTGTGTAGCTTGGGCTGGCATTGAACTTGTGCTGATCCTCCTGCCGCCTGCCTGTGCTGGGATTGCTGGCATGTACTACGCTGTCCAGCCTAATTTAAAGAACTAGTATAAATCGGTTGAAATTAACATGTTAAAAAACCCTTGAGAAATTGTATATATGTATACATTAGTATTAAAATTAGTTAATTTTTGCTTTAGATATAAATCGGTTGTATCATAGTGACATAGAAGTAATGCTGCATGTGTAATATGACCTCACTTGATTGATGAATCTTCAAGTAAGTCAAGGAAATAATCATGTCTGTAGCAGGAAATATTGAAGGCTTTGGTATCTCCTGTCTTCCTTCCCCTCTCCTGTCTTCCTTTCCTTCTTGCCTTTGTAGTACTGGGACTCATACCTTGGGCCTTGCACATGCAGCAGAAAGTGCAGGCACTCTGCCACTGAAGCTACATCCTCAGCCTGAATTGCAGCTTTTAAAATCTCAATTTCTGATGAAAAGCCTAATCTTCAGATAGTGATCCTTAAAAATGTATGGCTTTTCATGAAGAAACCAGCCATGGTGATTGTGTCTACAGTATTTCTTGTATTTTTCAAAAGTATGTTATTCTGGGCTGGGGATATAGCTCAGGGGCATAAGCACCTGCTTAGCAAGCACAAGGTCCTGAGTTCGATTCTCAGTACCAAAAAAAAAACAAAAACAAAAGAACTTATGTGGGGCTGGGGATTTAGCTCAGTGGCAAGTGTGAGGTCGTGAGTTCAATTCCTGGTATGGGGGGGAGGGGGGGAATTCTCAAAAGTATGTTATTCTAATTAAAGAGTCTTCCATTTAAATGTGTATATAAAATCAGTAGAAAAACTATAATTTTGTGTAGATAATTATAGTTACTGACCAGCAGTGCAATTTTATTTTAAAGATTCTGACAACGGGGATATTAATTATGATTATGTTCACGAGTTATCATTGGAAATGAAGCGTCAGAAGATACAGAGGGAATTAATGAAGTTGGAACAAGAAAATATGGAGAAGAGAGAAGAAATTATCATTAAGAAGGAGGTATCCTTTTTATTGCAATATATATGTTATTAATTACAAACATGAAAATTGATCACAGAAATCTTTGCATCTAATTCGTACCTGCGTCTTAAATTATACTAGGATACGGGTACATTGATCAACTCCTTGTATATCAGCAACTCCATATGTGTTAATCATTTAATCTTCACATTAATCTTTTAGATAAGAGGAAATACTTTTGCTATTGAATAAAACTGAAGCCCCGTTGCCTAGAATCACCAGCTACTATGAGGGTTGAATCAATGTGTCTGTTATAGGCCCATGCCATTCCTAGAATATCTTACTCATTTTTCTAAGGTGTAGAGATTAAAATTCACTTGAATATAATTTGTGATTTTTTTTTGAAATTTCATTATTTTTAATTTGTTTTCTTGGTACTGTTGTATGTTAGGGTAGTTAATTATCATACTGGTTGGAAACATGAGTTAGACTATTCTCAACAGCTGGTGACTATAGTAGTATTTTAATTTTTAATCTAAGAATTTTTTCATGAAATTAAGATGTATATTCTGTTGTAGCATGAGTGAAGGAATTTCTGAATTGACTACTGAATTCTTTTGAAAGGTTTCGCCAGAAGTGATTAGATCAAAATTGTCGCCATCACCTTCTTTAAGAAAATCTAGCAAATCTCCAAAGCGAAAATCAAGCCCTAAGTCCTCTTCAGCTAGCAAGAAAGATAGGAAGACATCTACAGTATCTTCTCCCCTGTTGGACCAGCAGAGGTCAGTAGGGTGATAGTGCCAGAAGTTACCTTTTTTCTGAATGGTTACTAAAAAAGAATTGCTACCTAGTTGATTATAGAAGGGTACTTTTAGTATAGTTAGTATTTACTGTGGTTTTTTCTTCTTAAAAAAGGTTAAAACTATAGGGAACAGCATATCTGGCAAATCCACATACACTTCAGAGCTTTTTAGTTTTTAAGAAAAAATAATAGATGTATTTCTTGTTCTTTCCTCTTGAATTTGGTCTTTATGATATGTGTGCCTCAGTGTGTATACTTTCATTAAATTCACTGTTTTGCAAAATACAGTATTGCTCTCATCTAATTATAATACAAATATATAACTTTCCTTGTACATTTTCATTCAATATTTTTATATTTTATAGTGCTACATGTAGCCTTAGTTCATTAGTATGTTACATATTACTTTTCTGTTGTTGAACATTTTTTTTTTGGTTATCAGTGATTATGATTTATATACATAATGAACATTCTTATCTTTGTGTACGTGATCAAGATTATATTTTTTAAAGTGTATACCTAGTAGCTGAGTATATTATTTAGGAATTTGATAGTAGCTAGTTGAAGAAATAAAAATAAGAATGAATCAGTATTGTTACATTGAAAGAGAAAAAATAGGGCAGCAAACATGTTTTCATTTAATGCCACTTTGTGGTACCTTAGTTCATAAACTTGATTCTTTCTGTGACTCTGGTTACAAACTGGTCGGATGAGAACCAAATCAAATTCAGTGGTTAGGTGTAAAATTGACCTTATGCTAGGCGTGGTGATGCACACCTGTAATCCCAACACTTGGGAGGCTGAGGCAGGAAGATCATTGCAAGTTTGAGACCAGCCTGGGCTACAACATGAGCTCAAGGCCAGCTTGAACTGCATAGGGAGACCCTGTCTCAAAAAGATCAAACAACACAACAAAAAAAAAAAATTAGGAAATTTGATTCAGTTCTTGTCCAGTTCAGTTTGTGACCATAGTCGTGGGGAGAATTGAATTTGTGAACCGAGGTATCATTATATTTAAATTATAATTAAAGTGCATAAATCAGTTTTTTTTTTTTTTTATAGCTAAAAATCTTTGATAAGTTGGCAGGGGGCTGGGGATATAGCTCAGTGGCATAAGTGCCTGCCTGGCAAGGGCAAGGTCCTGAGTGGTCCGATAAGTTGGCAGATATTATTATTATCTCCTTTCTAGTTTCTAGACACTTAGCATAATTCAGACTCTGGTTACTCTGCATACATTATTCTATCAGCCTAACTTGTATTTACCTTATCTAGTGTCCCAACTCTTTACAAGCTTATGTATTTACATTTTTTTTCATTTTTTTTGTATCTACATACAAGTTTTATTTTTCATTTTAAAGAGAAAAAAAACCCCAAAATAACAAAAACAAATACATGAAACAGCACAGAGAACAATAAAAATGATACACAATTTCAAAACATGGTGATAGGATATTAACAACGGTTGTTATATAATGTTATCTTCAGAATTGTTGCTCAGATAACCAGATATAGGCATGCAAGATTGCTCAAACAATTGCACATTAACTTTCAATAAACCAACAAATATTAGTAGTACCGTTATCCTAGCTGTCCTGTGTATGCATATACATTTTTTTCTCTTTCTTTTTCCTCACCTCTCCTTCATTCCAGTTGATCCTTCCTTTTTTTAAAAAAATTGATTATTTTAAAGAAAATAGTACAAAAAAAGAACAGTAGCAAAATACAAAACAAAGCAAGGACATTAAAAATTATACAAGGTTTCAAACCAAATGATAGGGATTAACAGTGGTTGTTATATTACATATTGTTTTCTTCATCAAAGTTGCTCAGATTACCAGATGTAATAATAGAAAATTGATCAAATCATTAAAGGGAATAAGAAAATAATAATTTAAAAGAACATTAGAGATAATACATAGTTTCACTAGACAGGATTGTAGGAATTCACCAATGGTTGTTATACTGCAAATTGTTGTCACATAAGTTGCTCAGATTACCAGATTCAAGCATGCAAAATTGGTCAAAATATTAAAAAAAAACTTTTAATCATTAACTGTTCCGCTCAACAAACCATCAGACACCAGCAGTACAGTTATGCCCTGATCCATATATCTATATCTATATAGATATATAAAATGACTTAGTACTTTCTTTTTCTTCTTTTGCTCATCCCAGTTTTTGCTTCCTTTGAGCAATTTCTTTCCCTTTCTTATTATCTGTTGTACTTTCTGGGTTTGATTTACTCTTTCATGTTCTTACACCAGGGAGATAACGTTTAGCTCTCCTAGTTCCTCTTAAAATTGCTGTCAGAGAAATGTTAACAGTTCTGATTAAAGTGTTGTGCCTTTGTAAAACTCCGTGGTTTTCTGTGCCATCTGCTGTCTTCTACATTCAACCCATCAATCTAATTTAATTAAATTCTAAGTTTAATTTAAATTGTAAGTTTTCCCATTTCTCCTTAGAGAATAGAAGTTTTGTTCCCTTTGTGTACCTATCAGATTTTGTTTATGCTTTCTTTTTAATATTAATTGCCTTTTGCATTATATTTTAGCTATGATATATATGTTTTGCAACCAGTATTAAATTTAAGCTCCTTGAAAATTGGGATCTTGAGGGTACGTTAAGGGTTCTATCTCCCCACAGTGCCTATTTTGTATAGACCTTTGCATTGTAATAAGGCATTTACTAAAGTTGACTTGATCCTTTTCTTTGTTCCTGGGATTGAGTCAGTATTATAAAAGGGTGTGGAAGAAGTTGACCCAAGTGATGTGATCCACCCTGCTTGTCCTTTGTCTGCTTACCTGTTCTATTCATTTCTCTAGTAAACTATATCAGAAATACTTTGTCTTCATTTTCTTGTCCCTTCTGACATCTTTGAAATTTAATCTCTTCACAGAAAGTTTTAATAACCATTTTAGATGATAGTACTTTAATCTTTTTTAATACAGTCTCATTTAGTACTTCATTAGTAACTTATCCTTTGATAAATATTTGGCCACTTGATTAACTATATTTCCTATATTGTATTATGTTGAGCTATTAGTTTAATAATGGATGAACTATTAGCTTAATAATTGAATAGAAAGGCCTGAAAAACAGTACATTGAAAGCACAAAGAAAAAGTTAAGTATAGTGGTTTGTTATACAGTTCATACTGACTAGAGTATGTCAGATGATGAGCTTCTAATTTCGTTGCTGGTCATACAATAAGCTGTTTGTATTAGAATTTCATTTAAAATTCAGTGGAGTATTTCAGGCAGTGCTAGTAAGTCAACTGAAGTGACAAGCCAGTAGTTAGACTT